TTTTTAAGCAGTTTACTCTGGGATAGGGTAAAATTATAAATCAGAGAGTTTAGGTCTAGAACAGGGTATCATTTTCCAGGAAGCTGATCAGTTGGTTGAAGATTCTAGTCTAGACTAGGGAAACCGGGAATTGGCACTCAAAAATATGAAAAAAATCAAATCGGATTTGTTTTGGCTGGACTGTGTTTGTGACCTCAGTAGTTTCTGGAAAACAGCTACTTTGGGATAGGGGGAGTGGGAGGGTTTGGGAGTTTAGTCTAGTATAGGGTAGCAAAATTCTCTTGAACGAGCTCTGGTATAGGCTAAGGGTCCCAGAGTCCCAGTGGCACATCCCCACCCCAGAATTCCTAAAGTACCCCCCCCCCCCCCGGGGGGGCTCTGCCAAAGAGGTTTGATTTGAATGACAACAACAACAAAACATTAGGGCCATTTATACGAGGAAAAATAAGACGCGTCTTACATAGGACGCGTCTTAAACAAGACGCGAACTTTCCGTATAAACGGCACATTTCGTCTAAAATAAGACGCGGCTTAGCTAAGACGCGTCTTATTTTAGAACAGCCCTTAACACCTGTTCTTAGATAAAACGCGTCTTAGCTAAGACGAGAAAAACGTCGTATAAATGACCTTCGCGTCTTAAGTAAGACGCGTACGCATGCGTTAATTTTTGGCGCGCCACGTTGGATTGCCGTTGCTACGGGCAACATTCATGTGAAAACGAGTCAAGAACAGAAATAAGACGCGAACCATTTATACGAGCTGTTCTCGTCTTACATAAGACATGCTCGTATAAATGGTCCAGTTCGCGTCTTACATAAGACGCGTCTTATTTTTCCTCGTATAAATGGCCCTATTATTTCTTCAGTGCAACGGAGCTGTATTACGGAAATATTTATCAAAAATCAAACAGTGGAAACTGCCATCAAATTGAGAAAAAATCCCCCAAAAATCCCGCTCAAATCATTAAAAGAAGGTATAAAGAACACATGCAAAAAATTCAAAACTATTGTGGACATTAAAAGCCCGTGAGCCTAACTAATTTCCATGGTTCACTTGTATTGTTTGCAACGTTTTGTACTTTTTTTTACCCGAAGCTTTGATTTTGTTGTTTACAAGGTACTTTCTTCGCGCTAGTTTTAACCTATTTGCGGCCCCATGCCGATTCCCGTCCACCTTTGTTCCGCTTTTGAAGTCATCAGTTTTAAGGGTCAGTGACACCTTTGTGATGTAACTTGTACAAGGAGACTGAGAGCTCTTTCAAACCTTGTCAGAATAAGCACGATTCAGGCAAGGAAGCAAAACCCCATACAATTAATTAACGTTACCCGCAAATAGCGTTGAAAATCAAAATACAACAAAGAACTAATCAGCTTTTGTCAACTATAATTCCTCACTTTTGAAATGACGTAGACTTGCCTACCGGTGATCCTCTTCCATTTAATTCTTCACCCCGCAGTTCTCATATATGATTTTCATATATTCATAACTTCATCTTTATCCTTTCACGGGTTTATAACGAACCAATTCAACGACCTGCTCCAAGTTGGCTTGTTAGCCCAATATTGGTAGAGCGCCACACCGGTATCGCAGAGGTCAAGGGTTCGAATCCCACCAGCCTGAATTTTTTCAGGCTTTCTTTTCGCAACTGCAAAAGTGGCGATGAATTTCTTTCATATAATTCTTCACCCCGCAGTTCTCATATATGATTTTCATATATTTATAACTTGACCGATGATTATTGGCTTATTCCCTAACAACATACTACAGAGTCATTCATCAAAAACAGCGCACTTCATTAAAAAAAAACTTAAAATAAAAATAACCTGAACTTTAATAACTACCTATAGGCGGAGCGGTGGATGGAACCCCTCCCCGGAGTTTTTGATATGTTGCAGTATTTTGAAACGATTTTACCTTTAGTGAAAATCCTTTGATCTTCGTAACAAGATGAGGTGTATTTTAGGGGTGGTTGCGCTGCTGGAGGCCTGTGACGTCGGTCGGCATTAGATTCTACCCACCAAAACCACATCGATCGAGAGAGACTGAGATTGACTTTTGGACACCTTGTGACATGTTATACCAACGAAAGATGCCTACGATGTTTTGACGTATTCGCCTCCCGGGGATTCGCCTTTCTTTTGCTTTGGGCTTAATAATATTTGGGAGATCGAGTTCTCGCCAACAAAGGGTGAATATAACGGGTATAACTGTATTTTGGCAAATATTGTACGTGAAGTTTTAAAATATGTTTCAGATTTCATGGGTCTACGTGATACACATCTAGCACCGAACACTGTCGGTGGTTTTGGTGGATGTTGAAGTCTACATCCACCAAAACCACTCAGGGTTTTATTTTTTTTTAGGCGCATAGTTACGCTTCTGCAAAGTACTGACGGACTTTTTTAAGACCATACTCATAAAGCATAATAATTATTGACACAGACAAAATTTTAATCATGGTTTTTATATAAGTTGTTATTATTTACACATACAAACTATTTTATTTTCTTATTATTATTTATTATTTTTTTAATGTGCACTTGTGAGCAGCACACTTACACTTCCAGTGAACATTTTCACTTGGGAGAAGGAGAAACCATGCTTGCCCGGGGCACCAACAATCGTCGCCATCTTGGCCGCCATCTTGGATTTTACCAAGAATTAGAAATCAGGTTGAAACCGCAAGAAATGGTAATTTTTTGTGCTTTGCATAGAAAATAACTCATAAATAAGCACTTTGCATGATTTTTGTCACAAGAATTACGTTTATTGTTGAAAGAAGTTGAAAAAAAATGTATTTTCACCCAAAATTGGCTTGACCACCTGCTACTTATGACGTCATATCTCGTAACCATAACAACTGACCATCTCTAAACTTGTCTCAGGGCCTCTTCATATGAGCTCGGTTGACCGGGCTGGCTCGGTTACCGGGATGAATTTTGCCTTGGGTTCATATGAGAAATTTCAGCCCGGTTTCTGAGATGAGAAAAGGTCAAAGATCCTGGGGACGAGTTCTGGCGCCAAATTTAGGAAAGAAAGCAAACATAGCGAAACACAAAATTTTAACTTTCGGGCCTATCTTAGCATCGGTAACTCTTAAAGCTGTATCACTGCAGTTAAATACGATGTTTCTGATGTGGAAAATACAGCAGGCAATGCAAGACGATGCCATCTGGACCGCCAGAATTCATCCCGCCGTTCATCCCGGTAACCGAGATGAAGTGTTCATATGGCAAAATTTCCACCCCGCTTACCGAGATCTCGGTTGGAAAAACCGAGATCTCGGGAACCGAGCCAACCCGCCCTCTCATATGAACATGTCGAAACTTTTACAAAGGATTTAGAGGTAAGGCGAGATCTCGGAAACCGGGCTAGCCCGGTCAACCGGGCTCATATGAAGAGGCCTTCAAAATGTGCGCGAGGGATGAATAAACAGCTACTAAAAACGTTAGGTACTTATGTTTTATCCTCTAGGAAAAAACTCAGGAAAAACTTATGGGAGTGGGGGTGGATGCCACCGCTTCCCCCTCGTACGTCCGAGGGTTAATCTGCATTTTTGACGGTTAGTGGTGAAAAATAACGTCGACTGCTGACAGTTAACCCCGTTAAGACCCTCTTATTTTTCATCCCCAACGAGGCTTTTGGTTTTAAGAAAACGCACCAAACCCACAAAAATTGTGTACGAGGTGTTGCCCGTTTTGCTTGTGCTTTACATCCTAAAGCCGAAATTTTTCCGTGATTTTACATTATTCTTGCTTTTCACATCGATAAAACAGTTCCTAGTAGAATAATCGAATTCCTAGCTGCCTAGCTTTTTATGTTACTATTTCATTACACAGAAGGCAACTACTATTAGCATCACAACAATTGAAAGGCACATCAGAGTGACAGCCATCGCCATCAAGGATATGATTGTGTCACCTTTCCCCTTTTCTGAAATTTAAAATAGTAAAAAAGAAATTAAGTCATTCCCTTTAGCTTGTATTGTCAACGATTTTCACCGTTTGAAGCTACCAAAAGCCCTTTACGCCAGCCCCTGGCCAACAATAGAGAGATTTAGAGTCACGCTGACGGCAAACGGCAAAAGTAAATTTGTACCAAGTGACCAAGTTGAGTAACCTAAAATACATATCGTTAAAGATAAAGAACTATAAGTATATATATATATATATATAAGACTAAAAAGAGTAAAAACCATATTACAATTATAAAATATCCTTACAATGAATATGAATATCTACAAACTACAAACTATAATTACAATAAGAATACAACTAGGATGGGTCAAGCGAGAGGGAGGTAAAATGCCGGATTAGCATCAAACTGAGAAATAAAATAAAGTTTCACTGAAGCTAAAATGATCAACGTCATTATATCTCGTTAAAAAATGACTATAAATAGCCTTTCTAAATGAGATTACACATGTTCCTTTCGTAAGGTTAATGGGCATAGAGTTCCAGAGCCTGGTCGCCGACACGCTAAAAGTTCTCCCTCCCTCAGATTCACGATTATATTTGGGGCAGACGAGGTTTAAGGCACTGCACCGCCCACTGCGTGTTTGTAAATCTGCATTGCATTTAAGAAGGTCATACATGTAGCTGGGGCAGTTTTCTTGTAGGCGCTTAAGGACTAGCGAACACTTATTAACTTTAGCTTCTTCATAAAATGGGAGCCACCCTAATTTGTTGAAGGGATTTACGCTATTTGAACTTGTGAAGGCTCCTAAAATGACTTGGGCAGGACGTTTTTGCAGCTTGAGGATTCTCGTTAAGTTATCAGCTGAGCAGTTTGACCAAATAGTTGACCCATACAGCATTACTTGTTTGATCATAGCATTGTAGTAAAGTATGCGCTGTTTAATAGGGATGAATCTCCTTATCTCTCTAAGGGCCGCTATTCTCTGGGATAACGTCTTGCACAGTTCCTCAACGTGTACATCAAAGCTTGAGTGTTTGTCAATGGTAACCCCTAAGAGTTTCTGACTATCAACCTGTTCTACGTCAGAGTCACTAAGTTTGAGTTCCAGTGAACAATTGTCAAGCTTGCATGGTATACGTTTCCCTGTGACAAGGAGACATTTCGTCTTCGCAGCGTTTGTAACCATTTTGTTGGTAGCCGACCATCGTGAGACGTCATTACTTCTACCCCAAAGATAGCATCTTCACGTTGGTTTTGTCTATAACAATTGCTTTGGACTGTTTTTAGCTACAAGTTTTCTGTTTTGAAAAGTTCTCAACTTGTATCTAACGTTTGCCGTTTGCCATAAACCTCATTCTAAATCTCTCTAATATAATCCGACAATTTAAATAAGATAGTTTTGGGGGTGTGATTAATTGCCCAGCGAACTTGTACAAAAACTATGTGAAAGAAAAGAGTAACGAATCACGTACGTGAATCATCATCACTCGTTTGCCCACCAGCACCAGTCCCATTGCCAGGGCCCACGAAAGATGACACAGCTGATGATATTTGCCGAGTCGATGATGGCGCTATAACCTGTGACAGAGATGGTGCTGTGACATGTGAAACGGATTGTGACGTTGATACTGACGTCGACTGTGTCATCCATGTCGAGGCAGACACTGAAGTTGACACCAAAACTGACGATGATGGCAACATTGACGCTGAAGCAGATGCTGAATTAGACTTTGTGGCTGATGCAGATGGGAACATTGACACTGTTGTTGACATTGACTGCGACATTGATGTTGAGGTAGACACTGATGTTGATGGTGAAGTCGACGATGAATCAGAAGTCGAGACTGACGTAGATAGCGCCACTGATGTTGACCCTGACGGCGACATTGATGGTGACGTAGAATGTGACATCGATGTTGAGGAAGGCAATGATATTGACACCGAAATTGAAGTTGATGTGGACATTGATGGTGAAGTCGAAGCTGAATCAGAAGTCGAGACTGACCTACATAGCCACACTGATGTTGACACTGACGGCGACATTGAAGGTGACATCGATGTTGAGGAAGGCAATGATATTGACGCCGAGGCTAAGACCGAAGGTAACGTGGACGGCGGAGCTGAAGCAAGAATAGAAGTAAATTCCATGAATGCTTATTCTTAACCTTGGGATTCAAATTTCAAAACTAAATTCTAGCCTCAAAAGGTCTCATATTTCTTTTACAACACCTTAAAATCCCTGTCGGTATGTCCGGCAGATAAGATCTCCCCTGAGATGAAAACGGGCATGGGGAACGACATTACATGCAACGGCTATGGAAACCACTATATAGGAGACACAGCTTGTTGATTGCTACTGCTATAATGTAATCCACTAACCTACCAGTTTACAAGAAGAGGGCGATAAATTACTGCACAAATAATTTGAACCTGTTAGATTTAGAATTGAACATTTAACGTCATCAGAAATAGATTTTCTGATGACCAATTTTCTGCACCACGATTGTGCTGTTGCAGATTCTTGTTTGAAGCAAGCCCCGGTTCAGACGCGGAACATTTCATGAGCCGAACCAAATACACTGAATGAAATACATGAAAAGTTCGGCGTCTGAAACAATAAGGAACGGCTCAGCTGTTCTACCTGCCTAGCCCGACCGGGAATTTCGACTTTGGAGCGACTTTGTAATGGCTTTGATTCAGACGAATGCCGAAATTCTCATGTGCCGAACCTACTGCATAAGTTATCGTAACGTATTTTGCAAAAAAAGGAGTGAAAATAAGTAGTTTTCTCGTTTTGAATTTAGTTCAGGTTGAATTAAAATGGGCGTCTAAATCAATTTACCCGTTGTAAATAATTTGGGTCGTCTTTTAATTTGAATTAGTTTTGGCTCATGAAAAGTTCAACGTCTTAACCGGGCCTAAAGCTCCGTACAAACGGAAGCAACATTGTTGGCTAACAACTCCCAGCATTGTCAGTTATTGCATGTTGCATCCGTTTGCACACCCTGTTGCGTCTTGTTGGGAGTTGCTTCGCAGAGTTTGAAACGGTTCAACCTTTTAGCTACGTGCAAACAGATGCAACAACTCCCAACAATGTTGGCCAACAATGATGCGTCCGTTTTTACGGGGCTTAACTAATCGTGAATTAATGTATTAACAGTAGCCTCACTTCTAGCTAGGGATGAATATATATATTATAGAGCTGATATTAACAATAGTACCCCAATTAACCTGGATTTTTGTTCAGGTTTTAGGAATTATAATCAAAATATCATAATATATTTCTTCGTTGGAGTACTTACGCTCATCATCTACAATTACAACTGTTGTATTAGCTGGATCTGCAATGGGGTTGCCGCAGGGGGGTTGACCGTCCAAAAGTGAGAATATGAACATCATTGTTTCGTTTCCTTCAAACACATCATCGTCTGTAATACCGAGAGTGACAGTAAATCGTTTCAACGAGAAGTCGGTTTGAAGAGTTATGAGTGCATTTAGCGGTTGATAGTCTGAATTGGCCGTGGCTGTTATGTCCACCGTAATTCCACTGAAAAAAAGGAAAGAATCTGTTTGTAGATTAAAAAAAGCTGTTGTTTTATAGTCTAAGAACCATAGCTACGGCTTGTAGATTACACTTTTACAAGTTTTGTTAGATTGACCCATGATTACCAAATAGATTGTTCATCAGTGCGAGAGCGAAGAAAACTAATTGATCTTTCACTTTTTATAAGATCCGGAAAAATTTAGTTGCTTTGCCGTTTCCTAGTGAGTTCTCTCTCTTAACACCTCATATACCAGGAAGTCCCATAGATGTCATACAACCTTTTACCCGCTTTTGTTGATTCGGATTGCAATAGAACCCAGATCATAAGAAGTTTTCATATTTATGTCACACAGTTGTGGTAACCTTTTTCCCATATCTTTACTCATGCCGACGTAGTTAATGCTCAAACATGGGAGGTATCTCCCCAAAAAAATCCAGTCGAGCCACCTTAAATATGTTCCTCGCACCTTTACAACCCTAAAGGCTGGTATCATATTCAAAAAGACTTGTTCAGCACTTCTAACATCAACGATTAAGCAAAAATTCTGCCGTATAGTAAGACAAAACAGCGGTGATGATGATGATGATGATGATGATGATGATGATGATGGTGGTGTTGATTGTAATTGCGATATTAACGATGATGATGGTGCTTTGTTCTGGCTAAAGTTTTAATTTGAATTCCCAAATGGTAAGTAATTTTCTCACCTCAGAAAAACGGTAGTGTTTATATTATCAGTATGATTGAGAGAAAGTTCAAGAGAATATTGAGCAGTTCCTGCATCCTCACTTGCTACTATTTGCGAAGGAGCTTGAAAGTGGAAAAGAGCGCCTGAAAAAAACAATAACAATAACAGTATTATTATTATTACTATTATTATCATCATCATTATTATTATTAAATGTAGCGATTACCATTAAGAAAGGGCACCCATCTGAAGAACTAAAAGTTATCCAAGCGCGGTAAATTCTCGCGTGCTGCATTAGAATTTGATGTTGTGCTAAACTCGAGACAATAGGAAATCCCTGCAGAGCAAGACATTATCCAAATCTATCACATCACTTCAATATTTACTCTGAGTCAATTTTGCGCCTTCGTTAGGCAACTTAAAATGTTTCAGTTGTTACGAAAATCGGGCATTCTATCGTACACTAATCAATTGCACCACTGAAATTTTAGATAAATCGCTGTTTTCCTGAAAGTAGCCTTAGAAATTACCAAAAGAGCTCAGCATTACGTTTTACCCCGATTCATTTGTTTTCGTGTCTTTCGAAATCGCGCTAGTCTGCTTGCGTTTAGCCGATTGTAGAGTGTATGAGGATCATTTTCAAAACGAATGAACGAGAAAACCTTGCCAGAAAGATTAAAAAATTAGGAAATTTGTCTGCATTAATAAGTCCAGTCTTCAATTCATGCATAATTTACAGGGTGTTCCAAAAGTTCGTTCCTCTACTTTATAAGTCTGTAACGCAGTACGATTGAACTTGATCAGCACATAATTTAAACCCAAGATCTGACTTTCAATCTAATTTAATATTTCATAATTTTTGTGCCATCTTTTTACTCGAAATTCGATTTGTGTAATTTCGCGCCAAAAGTGCTCTGCCCGAGTAAATTTTCCCGCCATATATTTTTTGCATTTTGTAGCCCGAAATGCTCGAACTCCTAACTTTTTTTGTGTGAATATCCTGAAAGATTAAGCTCTCTCAACGAAAAAACACTCAGCTACGTGCAAGCAGAAGCATGTATTTCTATCTACTGGCTTATCAGTTAAACAAAATCCTAAAAAAATGGAAAAATCCGAATGTTGGGTGGTAAGATGGTCGTAGAGGAATGAAGGTTTTACAGACAAGAAAGAGGGGTAAGACCAAAAGACCTGAATAAAACCGCCTAAAATAGTTTTAAAAAAGGCCACGTACGAAACAGGAAACCCACCGAGATAGCTCTTACAACAGTTAGCAAGTTAAGCCTGGAGCAGGTCCATGAAAAGCAAAGTTTTGAGACCCCTGAGATGGCCAAAAAAAACTTTACTCCCGGCCAGGGCCGTCCGCCAAGCAACGTTCAGCTCGTCTCAAATTTGTAAAGCAGAACAAAAGCCTTACTGTGGAAAGGGGACGGAATGATCATCTCTTCTTGGATCAATGCCCAAAATATATTGTTTCAGCTGCCTAATGTAAAAAATTATATTGGTTGGGGGCCGAAGTGACTTCTGCATACTAGGTGATAGAAAAGCTTAAAATGAATCATCTAGGGCTCTACATGCTTCATGGCTTATTTCACTTAATGTCGCAACGGCTACAGAGTGTGATAAAAAAACAAAGGGGGGATGGCGGTAACTGAACTTCTGAACACATGTACTCGATAGAGTAATAAGAAACATATTCTAGAAACTTCATGTAAAAATGAAGTTTTGATCAAAAGTTATAGCACATGAAATTAGAGGAACGAACTTTTGGGACACCCTCTATACCCTTTTTAAGAAATGCCAAGATATCTCGAAATTCCTGTAATAGATTTCTGTGAAACTTCGCATAACGGAAGGCAAGCATCCAGAGTATCCGCAGCGTAAAGCATTTCCAAAGTTCAGGTCGATAAGGGCTGAAATTTGATTTAAAGCCAAAACTATTGTGACGTCATTGCCACGTGATATTTCTTCGATCGCCCAAAAAATAATATCATAAAAAAAGTTTATGGTTTTACCATTAAAGATCAATTTGTTTAGGTACATGTATAAGAGATTCAGAGATGGAAGGTGTCGCCACAAAATTATTGTATCGAGCCACCTTTCGCTTTTAAATGGATAAGTTTATACTGAGAAGATTTGTTATCTCATTGTTTGAAGCTCTTTTAGCGATCAAATTAAAAACTGGGCCCAGAAATATCATGAAACTGTTTAGCGGTTTGGAATATAAAAAAGATTAAATTCTCTTTGAATGCAAGTGAAGTATTCTATTTTGTGCGTAAATAATGTTGTTTTGTTGTGCTTTTAAAATAAATTCAGCTTGTTCAAGAACTTCTGTCTTCAGTTTTGCCGTTCGACCCCGTGACATACATTATGAGAAACATAACTTTTTGTTAAAATCTGCATTTATTGCCAGGCATGAAACCCGTAATTTCAAGCTCCCCTTAAGCTCCCTGAGATATGTTGAACGATTATGTGAATGGTGCAGTGAATGAAAATCATGTCACGATTATGTGAATAAATATCAGTCACGGCGGGCATGCCTAGCCCGTGTACAACTGCCCCCTTCCCCTCAGAAAAAATCGACGAAGGGCGTCTGTGATTCACCGTTTCCGCCGACCAAAATTCCGTAGCACATGTTTCATATCATTCCAGTTCTCATAATACCGGTGCATGCGACTTATTTCCAACGAGCAATTGAGCTAGAGAGGAATTTTCAAAATCGCTTTACTCTATACGGAGCGAGACAATTGTTCACAGCGTGGAATCTGGAATTCAAGACCGTCTTGCCTTACCCCTTACTTGGAGCGATAAGTGTTTAGGTCTCCAATGCTTTCACAACGTTTTATCACAATCAATGAGACTGTTTTCCAGGAAAGGACAGGACAAAGCTACATGTTATTGTAAACGTTATTCAGAGCACACGTTTCAAATCACATATGCAGTGTAATAATTTGCAGAAGAGATTTGGTTATTCCCAAGAACCGGACAACAAATGTTGATTATGGTGCTTATATACAGGTCCTGTCAAAAAGCTAACTCCAGTGATATTCGTACCCGAGATACTTGCAGAATGGCACGGTGGTTTGGAAATATACATTTACCTTGCTAAATATTAAACCAGGAAAAGACCCCAAAAGTGAAAATTACAGTATGTAATGGAACAGGCCATGACATTGTCAGACTCACCGTTTTACGGAAATCGGTCAGATTTTTCATAATAAATATGATGAAAAAGACTTTCCAAGATGAAATATGGTAAATGATTTAGTAGTATATAGGGAGCGAATATACTTGGAGAGTATTTTGCAAGAGCTGCCGAGCGAGCGGAGCAGACTCTCCAAATGTTTTGGTTTGGACAATAATAATCCGCCGATTTGCAAGGCTTTATTCCCGCAGAATGAACTGGCCAATATCCTGTCTGAATAACTCAGAAACCCAGGAAAACGGACTTAAGGGAGTTAAAATGCAAAACATTTCCGGACCCTCCTACAAGCTTGCGCCTCCGTTTAAGGAAATCGGTCAGTGTTTATCCTAGATCCGCGCCTGATTGTACTTAGGCTATCAGTGCCACTTAAAGTTTCAGACCCCTTTTGTACTTCTTGCAAGAAATCCAAGCACCTGTATAACTCTTGATTCCCCTTCTCTTGACACCGAGAGTTATAAGAGTCATGTTATTCAGCATCGCTTTTGTGCCAGGTTCTTTCCTTCGCTTTTATGTTAGCTATCAGTGTCTCTTGAGGTTACAGTACTGTGCAAAAGAAATGGGAGCGAATTTTTCGGCGAATTTCGGCGAATAAATTTGCGAACTTTCGTTCCAAACGAAAAAGCGGCGAAATTTCGTTGCATCTATTGTTCTAATATATTGTCGGCGAAATTTCGCAAGCTAGGTGATGAACTGAAACGAATTTTCGCGACATTATAAGAAATTTCTATGCGAAATTTCGCTAAGTCGAAGCGAAATTTCGTCTGCGCGAAACGAAATTTCGTCCTTCAAATATCTTTAGCTGAGTAGAAGAAAAAAGCTCTAGCCATCACCTCATTGCTAAAGTAAGCTCGATCATTATTAATTCGTGTGATTTAAGAAAATGATCTCATTATGCAAAATAAATAAAGAACGAAACATACTTAAAATCAGTTCCCGCCTATTTAGCTGCAACTATACGGTGCTAAAAAAAATCGTCAAACTATGTGGTATATTTTTTTTAAAAAAATAAAATCCTCCAGAGTTTGTTCATCGAAGCCTATAGATGTGGTAAATGGACGCGGAGATCAGTTGACAGACCCAAAAGAACGAGACATTTACAAAAAATGCTTTCACTCGCGCACGCGGTCCTCTGACTGCTCTCTTATGTACTTGCGTCATGGTAGTATTAGTTGCTTAACAAGTAATTATCGAACTAGCATTCCCGTTTGAAAATTTCTGTAATCAATTACAAATTTGCAGCAGAGGGATTCAAAGTGCTATCCAACGGAAGAAAAAATAAGTCGCAAAATTGACTTAAAAGACTCACGACAGTAAGATAAGATAAGATAAGATAAGCGACTTTATTTAACGAGAGTTACACGTGACAGTAATTAAAATTACTGGTCGGGATTAAAATTACAGTAATTTTTCCTGGAAAGTTACAAAACAACGTTCGTAAAACGGTCCGTGTCAGTTCAATATAATATTCCTTAACCTTCTTCGAGGGTATAGAGACGAGAATAACTGGAAACGGTTTAAAATTTTCCCTTGACATCCATCCATAAGTATGGAAGTATCATTGAATTGTACAAGGTACGGAGAGATTGAGTTGAGAAAAAAAACCTAGATTTATGAATGATTCCTATGGATTCTGATAATTTATTGGCTAATAGAGATATGTGAGGCTTCCAGGTCAGATTGTCATCTAAAAAGATGATAATGTTGAATCTTAATGGTAATGACCGTAACCAGCCTATTTGTTATTCGGACTAATTGTTTAGGGTATGGAGACGAGAATAACGGAAAACGGGTTAAAATTTTGTCTTTGAGAGCCAAATGAAATATCCGGCAGCAATTAAAAGTACGCTCTTGGAATACATCATGCAAAGAATCACCTTTAAGGCTGCGCGTGTGACGTACACGCAAAGTCATACCCACAAAAACTCGGGTGCAAATTTTCGCCTTGGCGAAAGTTCAGCAAAACGAAATTCCGCTTCCTTGGATGTGAAATTTCGCCACTAAGATCGGATGACAGCGAAATTTCGTTTGACTCAACGAAAATTCGCGGGCGCTTCAACGAAGTTCTGTATACTGACCATTTTACATCTGCACTTACAAGTCATACCAATTAGTATATGATTATGTCGATCCGCAGGCTGTTTGCAACTTGACTTACCTACAGGTATGTCAATTCACTGCGGTTGATACATCCCCGGGATTAATCAAACTTTAAAAGAGAAGCATTTCCCTCCCCTCGTAAGTTTAAATCATGAATTATAAAGGACTGTTGATCACTAATTGTTAATTCACAAATATTCATTGACTGCTAACCTTCTGCGATGCACATGTAAAATGCAAACACCTGAATTAGAAGTAACTTCGATGAAGAATACTTTCCCACCAGCATCGTCAATCACTGCAGTACATACTGAACTCAGTTCAGTCGTGAAACTGGAAAACTTACTTAATTACAGACTGTACTTACTTACGCCGATTACGGGTCAAGGTCCATTGCTCAATTGTTTTGTTACCTCTTTTATAATCTCTTCACATTGTCCTTCAGCACCATGTTTGGAATTAAAACATTGTTCTAGTGAAGCCTTATTCAACAGTTTGCCAGCTACAATTGAAAAGAATCAACGATGATTTTGTGCGGTTATTTCTATGTGATTTGTAACTAGGTTAATTTGTGCTGTTTTAGAGTTAAAATTTTAAATAGCCCTCTAACATCTTTGAACGGTAACTGCTCAGTTGCTATCAGCCAGACAGCCACCCTGCCAGCTTCCTTCAACAATCCTTGATTTTAGCGTGTTAATATAATTGACGGTTCTGAAGGGAATGTGGTGGCCGATATAAGGTTAATACTTGGTTCAGTAACAAAATCCTCGAATGAAGTAATTTGCACGATACAGCACCAAAACTGTCCAATTTGACCTGCCTGTTCGATTAGATGGGACTTGATGCAATGGCGGACGCACGTGGTCTCACAAGGCTCGGTATCCACACTACCTTTTTCATTTTGTATTTATTATTAATCGCTGAAACTCCTGAAATCGTTAAAGGCAGATACTTCAATGGTTATGGTTTTGGTATTGGTTTGAGGTCCCGGCCACAGAATGTGTATCGACCTGAGCTTCCTGCTGGTGCGAAGTTATCCTTACGTGGTTCAAACCTTACGAGCGTTACTCGACAATTTCCTCGCGTTCATATGCCCCGAATACGATGGACTAAACATGGTCACCAATGTTTATGGCTGCCTAATGTCTTACTCTACCATGACATTGAATTTAATCCAGGTCCGACGGAGAGGAGACCAAAATGTGTTACGTGTAATATGGCGGTACGAAGAAACCAGGCGGCCATTATGTGCAGCAACTGTGCTTCTTGCTTCCATGCGAAATGCACAGGTCTATCAAAGGACGTTCTCAATAATATCTACAACTCCTTCGATACATGGTTCTGCCTGACCTGTAGTTTACCACCTTTCTCGGACTCATTCTTTGATTCTTCGATTTCATCGATTAATGATTCAATTGCGAACAATTCTTTGGTTATGAATAACAACGAAGACCCTGATATTTGGAAAATGCTGAGCCAACACTCAGCCAAACATTGTGTCATTGGAAGCTATAACATAAACAGTCTGGGAAACAAGTTCAGTGAGGTGA